AGAGAGAGAGAGAGAGAGAGAGAGAGAGAGAGAGAGAGAGGTTACAGGCAGAAGTTATGTCGGGCTATGGGGCCCAGGATCGTTTCGACATCCCAGAGGCAGACATTGATTGGACATTCGACAGGGAGACTATTTTTGGACTACGGTATTGTGATCTTGGTCTTCTCCCTCATCTCCATCTTCATCTTGCTCTTCCTCCATCCCCTCATCCGTGTTTCTCCTCATGTGCGTGTTCAAGGAGGGACCATCTTCCATGTCTGCGGTCCCCCCCTTCTCTCTCATGTGTGGTTTGTGATGGGCTGAGTCGAGTCAGTGTCTGACAGGTCAGATCGTATCTTTGAGTCTTCCGCTGCTCCTTTGGCTTCATTTGCATCGGTCCGATTATTCCGAGCATGCGCCACACACACACTACCTCCTGATGAGTCAGTGGAAGTCCAAGGAAACAGTCTGGCACAGTCCTGCTTTTTTATGGAGTTGTGTATAGCGAGCATGACAACACAGTCTACACACAAAGACACACATACACACACCCACCCACACACACACACGCAGCAGTAAGATCGGGCTCGTGCTAACGAGCTATTCTCTCTTTTTGTGGTTGAATATGTCTTGTTGGTTTGTTGATTATACACGGCCTAATTCTTTGCCCTGCTTTAGAGCATGGGCTGTTTGGATTTTTACGGGTGGCCATGAGTTCTCTTTGGGGGGAATGTATGTTTTGTGGGCCGTCGTGGAAGGCTTTCCCAGTTTTTCCGGACCCTTAGCAGGGGGGGTAGATGCGTTCTTGCTGGAGGAGCCTTCTGTCTTAGGTAAGTTGTCCCTTATCTTCTTCCTCCTCTTTGGCAGTGATGTGAGTGTGTACACTGGGTAGTTTGAGATGAATGTCAGGAATGCCAATGCTGTTATATTTGTTTGTTTTTGGTGAACGAGTTTTTGGTTTTGTGGGCCGATGCGGAAGGCTCTCCAAGCTTTTTTGGACCTTTTGAGGGGTTCGGGTCGGTGCCTTCTTGCTGGAGTAGTCTTCCGTCTTAGGTAAGTTGCCTTCTGCCCTCCATCCCCTTATGGTTCGAAATATATATGTATACATATGTATATGTGCAAGTGTGCCGCTTTGGCGGCGACGGGTGTGTGGGCACTTGGCGCTGAGCCACACAAACGTGGCCAACATTGCATTTTCTATTATATTGCCAGTCTAAACTTTTTCGTTATGGATGGCGTGTGATGATTTGTGAAGGGAATGGGAGAGAGAATCTGGGGTCTTTTAAAACAACACACGCGGCAGGGGGAGGTTCATGGCACTCTTGGTGTTGCGTACAGGTCATGTGGTGTATTTCTGATTCGTGGTGGCATTATAGGCCGTTGCAGAGGGCTCCACAATGTTTTTAGACCATTGGCATGTGTGGTCGTTGCTTTTTTGTTAGTGGAGCCTTTTGTGTTATGCTGTTTTTTTTTTTTTTTTTAATTAAGTCTGTGGTTTTGTGGGCCGACGCGGAGGGCTCTCCTAGTTTTTTTCGGACCTATGGCGGATGGGGATAATGTCCAAGTGTGACACTTCGGCGACAGACGGGTCTGTGGGCACTTGGCGCTGAACCACACAAATGTGGCCAAGCTTGCATTTTCTATTATATAGTCTATCTATGATTTTTCGCTATGGATGGTTTGGTATGATTTGTGGAGGAAATGAGAGAGAGAATTTGGGGTGCTTTAAAAACACACACTCCGGTCTTGCTAGCTCTCGGTCTTGGCAGATTTGAGCGGTTAGGATCGGGCTCGTACTAGCGAGCTACTCTTTCTCTATGGATGGATGTGTTTTGTTGGTTTGTTTTTTTATACATGACCTAATTCTTTGCCCTGCTTTGTAGCATGGGCTGTCTTGTCGATGAAGTAATGTCTGTGGGTGGCCACAAGTCTTTTCTGGGGTGGGAGTTTGGGGTTTTGGCCACAATATCTCTGTGAGGAGGCTCAGAGAGTGTTTGCTGTGGGTGCCATTCCCGCGGGCTGCTCTTTTGGAGCACATGGAAGAATGGGGTGCCTTCTAGGGTGTTTTAAGCAGTAGCGCTCCTGGTGTCGCGTGGAGATCTTGTGGAATTTGGCATAGTTCTCGCAGAGGCCTCGCTGTAGCACTAGGACATCATCCGATTCTGCAGGTTGCGCGGCAGGTATCCTCTGCCCTCCACCCTTTTATGGATTATGAAATAAATATATGTATATATAGTCAAACAGAGCTTCCCGGTAAACCGTAGGCAGAGAGGGAGAAGAGGACAACAAACGAGGGGCCTTAACAAACTGTTTCGTCAGGATTTCACCGACTCATCAGCTATATGTATATGTGCAAGTGTGCTGCTTCTGCGGCAGATGTGTGTGTGGGCACTTGGAGCTGAACCACTCAAACATGGCCAACCTTGCATTTTCTATTATAATGTCCATCTATACTTTTTCGTTATGGATGGTTTGTTATGATTTGTGGAGGAAATGAGGGAGAGAATTTGGGGCTGTGTGAGGGCTGGGCCCGGCCGATTGGGCCCGGGGGGGGCTGCCTGGGTAAACCGGGCGGGAC